TTGCATCATTGACCTTAGTACTGGTGTACCCATTTTGGTCTTACGGATGTTCTCATCCCTAACCGCCCTGACCCGTACCCCAAATATGAACTCGAAACTTGTCTAGTTTAAAGGCGGCCTCCAAGTGGTGGAATCCGCAAGGAAGGGAGGAACATCCTGGCACATCAATTACGGTTCGTCCACTTGTCGCCTATCCGTCTCAAACTTTGCCAACTTCCCTCTCACTACAGCAACTCCTCGCGTCATTCTGGCTACTTATTGGCCGCCTTGTTCCCCGCCCTCCTACACTAAACCTTAATCGGCAGCGAGCATCGGAAACTCTACCCCAAGGTCTAATTCCGGCCATTGGCACCCCCTACTCATTCTAGTAGAGGGTCAGTTTCGGCCCGTTGGAGACACTCGAAAAATGGTCGCACGTCTACTCCGGTCCAGTCAGGGGGCACCATCTAGTCAAGTTTGGCGTTACCCTTCGCTTCTTCTCAACGTGTCTATGCCCTTACCCCATGTCTCCCCTCAATCCCGCGCCCTAATTCCCGCACTTTCGACCCATCCGGTTTGCTCATGCGACCTTGCCTACCTCAGCACGCCTCACTTCGCCGAATTGCCTTGTCCCGTGTCCGCCATCCACAATTGTTCCTCCCCACGCTATCATCTTTCTCTCGCGCACCATCCACCCACCATTACTCCCATTGACACAGTGTACCCATATACGTGGCCATTTCTTGGTCTCAACTTCCCACACACCTCAAGCTTTCAACCGCACTAACTTGTCCCAACGTCAAACTTCTTGGACCCTGACGGGATACGGAGCAGAGATCAGAATGACGGTTCTTAGACTACCACCGCGCCATGTTTTGCTAGACTCTATTCGGCATCTCAGTCACTCCGTCCTTAAGCCTTTGGCAGTGGGTCAACATCCTACTACAAGAGCCTTCAACATGACTTCCGCACATATGCGACCGCAGGGCTATAACCCACCAACGGGGGGGGCGCAAAATAACGAATAAGTCAGGGGAGGATCACCAAAGACCAATCAGAAGGATACGGAAGATAGAAGAGGAGCTAAAGGCGGGTCTAAAGCGCTACCATAGAGACGATTCACCTTAAAATAGGAAGAGCATGACGGGTGATTGATTTTGGGAGGGAAATGGTGCGAAGGATGGCGCTTCTGCGGTCGGCTGCCTTGGAGATTTCAACGGATGCTGTTCAAATGGAGAAGGGGGGGTGAAATAGAGGTCACGATCGATCGCAGATTACTAACAGTGGTCCTACGCCGGCGCAAACGCATGAGGTACGAAACTGATACGAAGTGGTTGATCAATTAGCCTAGCAAGACCGGCGTAAATGGAGATTCATGGGTAGAGGCACACTAGCCTAAATTCGGGGGAGTGAGTGAATAGAATGGGGAGAGAAACTCTCAGTGAAGGGAGATGTGAAAATAACATCTATAGGGTCACATGAAGGAAGACGCCGGGGTCTAGTGGCGGACGCTACTCTTTACTGTACTCATCTTCCTGTCGTCCAATTAAGCATTGAAGGTAGATATTAAAAAAAAGAGGCAGACTAAGGAAGAGCATGATTGGTGATGAAGAGGAGCACATATGTGTAGCGCATTGGCCAGAGAATCCGCCTCATTAAAGAGAATCCCATTTCCTCTCAAGCTGTGAGGAGACTTCCGTGCAGACACACCGAAGAGCCGAGAGGGAATACAGGACGCGGAAGGCAAAGCGAAAGGATGGAATGTTGCAATAGAGAAGATAAAAATGCTGGAATAGACAGAATTTTATATGGGGATTAGTTAAGCTTGGTGAAGACACTCGAAAAACGCGGCATCAGCTCAGGTGGAAGACAGGCTGAAAAAGGGACTGAGAGGGACATTGTCGCTCGTCACAATTCTGGATTTGCGTACGGGCTTCGTGCTAGACCTGTCGATACTCGCCAGCTCTTAGGCATATTATGATGAGTTGGTTGCATCCCCCCGGGGTTTAGCATCGGACATCTATGACCCATTCCCATGGTGAGTGGGTTGACACCCGCCGATCCAAAAGCGGAGAAGAAAGTGGCAGAGACCGTTGCAAGTAATTAACCTTCAGAAAAGAGTGCAGCGCGTATCAGGGATAACGAGTTAGGGAGAGATAATAAAAGGATTGCTCACTGAGTCTGTGCAGAACCGCAATGTCAAGACCACAGGGGCATCGTGTAAAGTACTCGAAGCGCCACTCTCCATACGCTTCTCCTTTCTTGTTCCCTGCCGCCCACCAGGGTCCGTGCACTAATCGAGTGGCGGTCAGCAGCCCTTCATCCTGTTGTCATTCCGGCGTCAGCATACACATAACGCCACGTCTCCACCCAAGCTGCTTCTGCATACTGGACAGTGGCCAGTTCTGTCGAGCGAGTTTGTAACTCACTTCAGCGGTCCTCTCATCTTCTCCCCTTCTCACGACTGCACTCTCCGCATACGCCCATTTCACTGACTGCTCTTCCTTTTGTCAAAAATCCCCTGTGTCCTCCTATCACGTTCTGTCGTCTTCTCGGGCACATACATTAATCTTTGTTTGAGTTCTTATTATCCCATTGTCAATTGATCTTGCTTCGTCGTATCCCCTCCCCCTTTTCTCTTCAAGTTTTTCGGCCATACCCAGGGTTTCGGTCTCGGCATTCAAATGCTCTCTCACGGCCTCCCCCCTCACTCGTCGTTCCCTGCGCCTTCTCTCCTCACCCGTTTGCTCTTAGGTTTTGCATTCGTAATGCCAAAATTCTCACCCCGTCATCCCACCATTTTTCCACCTCAAGTTTTAGCAACTACCTCCCCAACAAGCTTGTCATGAGTGTCATCCAATCTTCTGGTCACGCATCCCGTTTCGCCCCTCATACCAAAGGTTGCGTATCAATGGTTCTTTGAGAATGTACACCCACCTAAGGTAGCAAATGACCGGAACGATGGGCGACACGGAGAGCCAGAAGTGGACACTTCATCGCGTTCGCATACTGTGCGATCTCTTCCATGAGCTACGCAAAACAGACGGTACATGTAGACGGCAACACCTAAGTTCACACTATTTTACTGTACCACTAGCTTATTTATCATTTTACCTAGCAGTTTCTTCACTATTCCTATCTCGGGTACCTCCAAATACGGATGACCAGGATTTTAGGCTGTCACGCCTAAATGTTGTACAAGACCTCAACAGTTCGTACTGGGTAGTTATTCTCATGCCTGCGAAAGTGGTTGTTAGCCTGACCTCCAAACGAAACCCATACACGTTTATCGTACCATTCATTGATCATGATGTCTAATGTGTCTCTATCCAGTTTGTGATAAACTTCAGTTTGGATAAACGCATATGCATATGTTGTATTCGAACTGCCATTGGACACGGATGACCCCAATCCATGTATCTATGTATATCAAATGAATTCCACGAGTATACGCACACCTCTTTTGTACGACCAACTTAGTGCAGGGAAACGGCACTCAGGCAAACCGAAAATAACATTAGCAAAACATGAAGAAGGTGAGTTTCTGACAAACTCATGTTGATTATAGGTGTTGCGAATCCAAGTCAAATTTTGATCAATGCGAATTCTATGGACTATTTAAAGAGTGGTTGCTCAGGTGCAGGAAAAGGCACTATAGCAGATGGAATAGAAGCACCATGGGTACGCTGCCACTCGATTTAGTAATCCAGGCCAATAAAGCGTCGTATTTGATACGTTTGCCTGCGAGCTGAATAACCTTGAATTTCAGATGTGGATGTTGCTTGAGCTCCCCGGTGTGGCTGCGACTGATGTGAATGTTGACAATGTGCTTATCTGCCTATTACCCACTACCTCGTCCATACTGGCTCCAGGAGACAGTTGGTCTTCGCTGAAGGGCACGGAGTGCACCGTCCTCGTGACGGTGAGAGGCTCAAAGGGTGGTTCCTTGCAGTCTTTGTGGAGCGCGCTCCGATCCAGCCCCCGCCTAGTGTGCGTTTGGAGAGCATGATTTCCCAATCAGGCCGGAATGTTTCTGTTCTGCTTGTTGAAAGAGTGTAGGTCGGCTCTGTTGATGAAACGTGGCCCCCATTCACATGCCTCCCGGTCTTATTCCTTGGAGTTTACACCGGATATGGGGTACGTGGATGGAGCTGTGGGTGGTGCAGCGCAAGCCACCCATGGTCCCTCTGTAGGCTCAGGCGTCCTGTGACTCTCCCCATGGAGGTCACAGTGACAGGCAAATCCGGATACGGAGGCCGCCAAATCATGTAATAATAATAATAATAATAATAGGTATATTTCTCAGAAAGGTGAGACACGTTCCAGAGACTC